TTATAAATAAAGTCATAGCTGATAAAGCCCTCAATAGAAATTCCTCCAGGATCCTTCTGGGGTGGCTTTAGAGATCACAGTGGACTAGCGGTCACATTAGAGAATCTGAGGCTTCTTTTTTTCCCGTCCCAAAGAATCATGTCTGAGGGACACTTGAAGACAGATGCAACAGAAACAAAAAAACAACCCAATGTCACTTTAGTGCAGAAAGAGGTCGCCTTAGCTTTAAAACGTTTTTGTTAAACCTTGATAGTTCATTAAAAAAATGCAAAAAAGTTTTCAATGACATTTTATTGGCTATTAAACAACCTCATTAAAATATGTCAATTCTGGCTGAGATCAGAGGGTCTACAGTGGAGGATATCATTCTTCAATCTCCTGCTAAATTTCTGCTTTTGCTCACTTACAAAGAAATGAATAGTCTCTCATTTTTTATGGTAGTTTCATTTTAATGGAGAGAGACAGGATAGCAAGCACAATTGAGAAAAACACATGACATAAATGTTATAAACTACAAGTTCTTTGTCATCAACTTGACCCGCTGTGTTTGGGGGAAGAGAAATGCTGAGTATGACCTAAAGAACAGCATCCCCACAGTCAAGCACGGAGGTGGAAACTTCCTTTGAGTCTTTTTTCTGTTAAAGATACAGGATGATTTCATCGCATCAATCTTATAGAGAATCTATGGAGGGAGCTCCCAAGAGGCAACCAAGAAAACTAAAAGATTTAGAGTTTCTGTAAAGAGAAGTGTCCCAAAACCCCTCACGAGATGTGCACCAATCTAGTGACAAACTACCGCTGTGCTTGCCAACAAGGATTTCTCCACAAGTCATCTTTTGCTTGGGCATGCAAATCAATGTATAACTTTTATTTTTAACTAAGTTGTGCTGGGCAACTTTATCTACATCAGATATGTCATCATTTTAACATTATTGGTATAATGTTTCTGTATGCAGGCAGATGGTGCCAGGCGTTTAATCGTGCCCAGGAAACAGGTCATAATAGGCTGTTAAACTGTCACTTATTTTAAAAACCAGTGACAGCGTCATGAGAGAGAGATTAGATGGATATAAATTGACAAGTGAGGTGCTAAATCTCGAACAAGCAGCCAGTGAACCCAGGTATTAGCTGGCCCTTTCTTAAATATGCACTGTTTCAGGAATTAATCAGGAGTGAGATATTCTTAGGAACTGTCCTCAAAGGGACAATGATGCCACGGAGATTATCACCACGGCCACAAACTGCCCTTCATTTGGCTTTATTAGAACTTGTATGTATGTTATTGAATGCCTGCTTCAGAAATTTTAAACGGCACCTTATCTCGAGTCACAGAGGGAACAGCTGAACACAGTGGATTACAACCAGAGTTCATTCTAATCTTTAATGCAACAGATGGCAAAATCTCAGGGCTTATGAGTTAATGTCAAAACAAGTTCAAGTTGTCTAAATAAAGAGCTGCAAAGGAGAGGTCACTAA